AATTAAGTGCACAACATTATCTTTTTTGAGTTTTCAGTGAAAATGTATACATTTAGTTGCATATTTACATTTCTATATTTGTTTCATATATATTCTTTACTTATTATTTCGTTTTTATATTTAAGAGACTTTAAAAAAACGAGTCTTTTCCGTCCCTTGTAAATATTTTTTTATTCATTGCACATTATATTCGCTGTTTAAGAGGTAAAGCAGCTAAAATGTCTTATTTTTTCATTAAGTATGCACTTAAATAAAGCGGGTTAACTGATTATACGCACAAGCATCCGATTGTGGATGTCTTGGAAACCGGTTCCAAGTCCTATAAGTGGTATAATTTTTGCTCTGTGCCTTGATACAGCTTGAAGGGGCCGCATGTCACGCACTGGAAAATGCTTAACGCTCCCCAGCACCCAGGGTAAACTCGATCTGAGGAAAAGGGACCCACACAATGGGAGTTTTACGTGCTGCTGCGAAGGACGTCGCGCATCCAGTTAAAGTTTCTGGCTCATTAGTATGATGCTTAAAATTATTAAATGTGTGCAACTCGAGGGTCTCGTAAGTGCACAAAGATAGTTAGTAAAGCGCACATTAAGATAGTTCCGGCCATAGAAGTAAATTGCACTCTTTGCGGTCCCTTTGACTTCCCTTCAATCTGGGCCCACGCGTCGTATGCGCAATGGCCGGCCGATTGCAACAATCAAGGTTTTATTGTTGAGCAAATACGGTAGGCCAGACCAGTGCCTCAAGCCGCAAGCCGCAAAGCCAGGGAAAGCCGGGAAAGCAGGAAAGCCCGAGCAGGCGAATAAATGAAGGCCGTAATTATGGCCAAGGAAAATACAGACGCCGGAACGGGAGCAAAATGTCACGTACTGGCAATAAACCGCTGCTAATTTACGATGCCCGGACTGCCTCTGGTCCTGATCCTGGCCAAAGTCCGAGGACCAAGTCCGAGTCCTGGTTCCTGCCACTCGGCCGCCAACAAAAGGCGGCGGAAGTCAAAAGGCAAACGCCTAAGCAGTTTGGCCAACTCGAGAACTCCGGAATGTTTCGCATTACGGCCGCTGCATAGAAATGGCCATCAAGTCGACGGCGAGGGGCCTTTCGAACCTATCGAAACTGCCAATAACCAGGACAAAGGCCTAATGCGCATTAGCCGCCCCGGAACGTGCATTAGATATATTAAAATCGGGACTGTGGACTGTTGACTGTGGCGGACCTTGCATTGTCCGCAGCTGCGTTTTGTTTGCATCCATTAGCGGAAACGCACTGAGGCAGAACGGTGGACAGCGGATTTTCCCATTTTCCTCGGGCCCAATTTTCAAAAAATAATTGCGTTGAGGACTCGAAACTCAACAGGCAGCGAAGAGCGTCGGGCGGAAAACGGACTTTCGAGTTCGAAAACGGTTTCTCTTAAATGGAGACTTGCCAAAATTTGCGTATAAGAGAAGGCCGTGCGGCGCCTGCGTCGGCTGGGAAAAGTCTACAGGAAAATCAGCTGGTCGGTCGGTGATTCCGTCTACTTCAGAACGGCCACATTGAAGCAGTTTGTCAATAGTTACGCTCAAGACGCCACGCGTTTGCCGAACCGTTTAAGGAACGCCGCGCTTAGTATCTGAAAATTATTAAAATTTGAAATTCGACACAATCCCGAAGACTGAAAGCGAAATCAAAAAACGAAAATCAAACTCACAACCAAAGAGCAATTTAAACGTTAAGTGAAATCCTGTAGACAGCGAACTCTAGTCCACCTTTTTGTTCCGAATAATTGAGTAACCAAAACCAGAGAAACCCGCATAATTAGCGTTCAAACAAGAAAAACCGAGCCCGAGTACTTAATCAAAAAAGATAAATACAAATCAACCATAGACGCGCACACAAACAAACCAAAAGCGGAAGCTGTCCGCTGTGTGTCTGTGTGTGTGGGTGTGAGGTCCTCAGGAACTCAGGTCCTCAGGAACTGGGGAACATCATCATCATCAGCATCAGCATCAGCACCATTGGAATCCTCGCATCCTTCGTGGTCGCCGCTGCTGTCGTCATCGTTGTCACATCGCGGCATAAATATTTATGTTGACGAATCTACCTGCGGCTGAGCGTCGCTAATGAAGCGGGCAAAATGAAAATGAAAGGACATAATTATGCTTATGTGTGAGTATAATGAATACGAATTTCCACAAGCTCCACAAGGCCAGCTGGGGGACCACCACCACTGCACTTTGTTCAGCGAAAAGCGCCCGGGGAATTCGTGCATTTTGTTTGCGTTTTCCGTTACGGTTGAATGTCTGCTACTTTCTCCTTTCTTGGCCAGGTTTGCTTTGTGCAAAATGGCACTGGTCTTTGGGGGAGGGGAGGGGTGGTTTATTGGTGGCCAACATGATTAGTTCGCAGGAAGGGGGTTGCTTGCAATTAGGCAACTGCATTAGGGAAAACTTTTCGCTGGCAAGTTGGTAACTTGAGTGCAAATTGCTGTCGTCCAATCATCTTCATAAAGTTTGCGCCAGCACGAGTCCATGAACTCACTGCCATTGTGTGGAAGGCAATCCATTGTTTCCATTCAGCTGCTAACTGAGTTATAACCCCATTCGACTGGCTTCCCCACACATTCGACTAACACCCCCTCCCCTGCTAATTGGTACATTGTACGAGTCATTCTGGTGATCAAAACCAAAAGGCTGCTAAAAGATTACGCTGACACAACGAGAAAAGAACGAGCACTGCCAGCGGCAGACATTCAACAGAACTTTTTGTATATTTATTAGAGTATGAATTAATTCAAGTATGAGCAGTGTGTGTGTTGTGGGGAAAGAGTTAAGCCTTCGAGGCACATTCTGAATCAGATTCGCACAACGGAAAATGGGGGTGGGGGTGGAAAAGCCACCGCAGCCCGGCGCGATTTTCCCTTTTTCTCCTTGACTTTTTTCGACTATCCCCTGAGGCGAATTTTGTTGCAAACGTTGGCACATTTTTTTTCACTCCACCCACAGTGTATTGCGAATGTAATTCATGTACACGACCTTGGTGTATAACAAAAAAAAATGGTTGTGGCTGTGTGGCAGCAACAACTCGCTTTCATAATTAAAATGCAGAAGAATATGGCCTGGGGAGGCGACCGCCAGATACCTCGCTTAATTCTCAGATGGCATTACTTGTGCCTTAAAGTGATTGCTCAAGATCGAATACATATATGTATCAATCTTACGAGACTTAGCATACTTTCCGGCTTCAATACTAATAAATGCCTTGAACTCCAAGCCGCACAAACATTTAAAGTGCATTTATTAATAGCGGTGCCAAGAAAACCCCTGAAAAGGCGAACACGGGACGGATGACGATTACCTTGACTGTGAAAATACTTCTCACACATGAGCTGCTTGGGCGCATCGCATAACCATAACCGTAGCCCTCCTTCCGTTTCCGGTGCCGCCCATTAACATTTTAGTCTCGGGGAAAGGCAAAACCGAAAGCAGCCACTATTCAGCGAGGGTCGGGCGAAGCCTTCTCGCGAATTTCGTCGATGGCGAACCGCAACCCGTCGAGCGACCTTCGCAGGTCAGGTGTTGGCCCGGGTATTCGCCTCAGACTGGTTAACTGCCTTCACCTGGGGACACCTTGACACAGACAAAGGTCAGGCAGTGGGTGGGGCGCACAAAGGGCAAGTGGCAACCAAACCAAACTAAACCTAAACCTAACCCCCCACCAACGACCAACCGAGAGTGAATTAAGCAGGAATGCAGATGCCCCAGCGACTCACTGGTTTATTGTATTTCTTGGCCAGCGTTTAGATATGCATATCAGTTCCGTTCCAACTTCCGTGGGTAGGGCGAATAGTTGCCGTCGTATCTGTCGTACCTATAGGGCTCCCCTGGTGCGGAAAATCCGGGCAGCGGTAGCAACAGCAGCAGCGAAATCAGCAGCAGCAGCTGCATCGTGTAGCCAAGTGTTAGCAGCAACATTTCGAACGAAACTGAGCAAAACAAGCTGATAGCACAGCTATATATACATTAAAATAAAAAATTAAATATTCACAGCACACTGAAAAAAAGAAATAAAAAATAAACAAAGAAATTTTGAAAATTGGACTTTACTTTTGGCAGATAACAATTTCAAGGGTACAGATTAAATACGGCACAGCTTGTAAAAGTAAGAACACTAAATCATCATTCAATATTAAATTTCACAACACATTAAATGAAAAACAAATAAATCTATTTTTTATTTTACTTTAAAAGAATACTTTACTATACCCACAAGATATGACTGTGAATCTTAGTTTGCTTTTAATATTCAAAAATTATTTTCAAAGTGTGCTGGATTTTCCCAGCTCCAATCGTGATAAGGATCTGCCCCCTGGAGGCACTCAGTCGTTCTAAGAATTTAAAACTATTTTTAATGATTGCCCAGCTTTAACCGAGATAAGGGTCCAGGGGTCAGGGGGCTCTCACTGGGCAGCTTGTGAAAAACTTGTGAAAGAGTTCGCTCGATTGAAATGATTAATTAATTGGTGGAATCGAGCTAAACTGAGCGCGTCGAGACGAGCATCATTTATCATGGTGTGGACTTAATTCGAGCGCCCTGGCTTCGCTGGGGAAATAAAAAATAAAGAGCCAACTTGAGTTATTCTAGGGCGGTACATTATGATTTCGTTGGAGGCCTTCGCTTCTCGCTTTCCATAGACCTCTCGCCCATTGTTTGCCATTCATCTCTGACTCCCCATTGACTCTCGAACCGCCCTATGTTTTGCAGTTTACGTGTTAAGTGCTTGGCAAGCACGATTAAGGCGCTTTATCACCCGCAACAGCGGCAGCAACACGAACGACAAGCACGCCAGCAACAGCAACAGCAACGGCAGCAGCAGCAACAGCAACAGCAACAGCATCAGCAAAAGAGTCAACAGCAACAGCTGCGACGGCAGCAACATCACCAGCAGCAGCAGCAGCAGCAGCAACACATCGCGCTGTAGTCACACCCAGCAGCACACACATATCTAGATACATATACTGTCAGATAAATACACACGAGATGCTGAAAACTGTGACAACAGCAATGGCTGCCGCCGATGACGATGTCCCAGCGAGCATTTTGGAAATTGAACTGCCAGCCATTTTGCTCAACGAGAGCCTCTTCATCGAGCTGAATGGCAATCTCACCCAGCTGGTGGACTCGACCAGCAATCTCAGCCAAATCGCCTGGAATCGCACTGCAAACGGCAATGGCAATGGCAGCAGCAACACTTTCGACCTGGATGATGAGCAGCGGGCGGCGGTCGAGTTCTGGCTACTGGTCAAAATGATCGTCATGGCCGTCGTGCTGGGACTCATGATACTCGTGACCATCATAGGCAAGTACTTGATCAAAATCAAATCCAAATTTAAATTACCCAAAAAGGGGGGGACATTAAATTATACTCAAATTTATGCCGCCGGGATGAGGCTGGGAAAAGTTTCCATATCGCCGACAGAAACTCAACTGTAAATGAAGTGAAATTTATGATGCAGAAGATTTTTATTGCGCCCCTTGGAAGATTTTTATTGATTTTTGGGCTTACAAAGATGATTTGCTGCCGCCTGCTCTAAGAAATGGGCTCGGGAATAGGGCTTTCAATGGGTGTCGGGTGCTTAGGGCGGCTGATTGTTTTGGTTGGCTGGATGATGTACGAGGAGTTCTTTGAGTTAAGCGCCGCAGAGATGCCAGTAAAATAAAAAAACGAGCCAAAGTTTCCAAAAATGTTTGCCGCGGCACGTAAAAAGCTATTAAAACGGCGCCAAGGCGTCAAATGCAAATTACGACAAGCACACACTTTTTGGCACACGATGGAGGTGTTTTATACAGAGAGAAAAAGTTATTCAGTGAAAGGATTCAATTATTCTTACTTTCGAATGTATTAAAAATATTGGGATTATTACCTTGTTAATTCAATCGAAGTGACTAAAATCAAATGTTATTTGTAATACATTTTCTCTTAATGTTCAATCAATTTTGTGATTTGACATGGCATAAATATGAAATTTTAAATATTAACTCAACTTAACCAATAATAATTACTGAATAATTAAAGCGCATATATTAAGAAATAGAGTACTGATAACTGGCAAGTGTAAATATTATGTTGCAGTGAACGTAAAATGTAGTTACATAGTAAAAAGCAGTATGATCCGTTTCACTTTTATAGACCATGTACCAGCAAGTCAAACTACCATGTTGCATATTCCAAGCAAAATGTTTATCACAAACGATATAAATCTTTGAAAAGGTTTTGAAGAAAAAATTTAATATTATTAGCTTAGCTAAGCTGAAGTTTCAACTATTCTTATTACCAAGATCAAGTTATCCTATTTTTCGTTGAAAAATCCGTGTTCTTTGTGCCATATAATTAAGTTAACTGAGCTTAGCTCACTTTTAAAACACTATTATTTTTTAGGGTTCCCAAAGGTTGGGTGTTCCGACAGAACGTTATACCCAACTAATCGCTAGTTTCGCAAAATTTTGCTTGGTGCTAGCACACACACGCTGTCCCCAGTTTTGGTGCCGTTGCGAACACACGTCGTATTCGCAACATTTCCCCGGCAAGACATATGCAAATGCGTTTTCTGGCTGGGGCCAAGCGACGACAAAACGTTTTGACAACCTGCAGACAAGCTCGCTGTCTCAGCAGCTCCAGTTCCAAAGGGGGGGCTCCAAGGGGGGTCGAAACACGGGCTGGCGTCACTCCGGCTGCCATGGAAAAGCAGGGGCGTTGGGCAAAAAGGGGCAAGGTGAGGTGAGGTGAGGAGGCACTGCGGCAATTACAATTTGCCAAGTTGCATGCGCTTAATCAAAGCAAGCAACGACAATGATGATGGCGATGATGGAGCTAGCAGCCATCCAGTACTCATTTGCATCCCACAGGCGAGGAGACACTGCACAGAGGACCCGGGATAAGGAGACCCGGGAATGTGGAGGGAGGTGGACAAGTGGGGCATGCACGATTGCCTGCAATTAGGCTGGAAAATGAAGACTCCTTTGACACGAATCCTTTGCCACTGATTGATTTTGCACCACTCCTCTGGATGTTTTCCATCCCATTCGCCCACTGCCAAAAACGACACACAAAAGTTAATGATTCCGGCCACTCGACGTTACCAGTGAACTGCATTCGAACTCACTTACTTATTCATCGGCACTGAAACGGAAGGCTTAGTGCTGCATTTACCGCCTCACTTAATATATCAATTTATCAATTTATCGCTTTCTAATGGGGCTCCTGTTTTCTGCTCTCACTGTCCACAGGCAACGTCTTCGTAATTGCCGCCATTATACTCGAGAGAAACTTGCAGAATGTTGCCAATTATTTGGTTGCATCCCTGGCAGTGGCTGATTTATTTGTTGCCTGTCTTGTCATGCCGCTTGGCGCCGTCTACGAGGTAAGTTGTCCTCCTCTTTCATTTTACACGGCAAGAAAAAAAAGGGATTAAATTTAGAGATGCCAAGGGAGGGCAATGGTAAAAAAAAGGAAAAGAACATTTTTAATCTAGCATAATACATTTAAAACTTCTTAAAAACACATTTTCGAGTTAAGAAATCATTTCAAGAAATATATGGTATAATTAAAATATTGTCTTATTATATATAACATATTTTCATGTTAACAAAGTATGTGCACCTTTTTTTATTTAAGTCATTTTTAGAAATTTTTAAAATGTTGAAGTTCTTAAAAAAGTGAACAATCCTTAAAATTGTCTATTTATTTGGCACAGTATAAGGATAACGAAATGGATTCCAAAACATGAAATTTCATACAATATTAATAGTTTAGTATATACCGAATAGTCTTAGATTAGTGGGGATAACCCAGTGGCGGATCCAGAAATGATTGTAGGGGGATACAACAATAATTTGTTGAAATAAAAAATTGTAAGTTAAATACATGTTACAAATACTTTTGAACACGAGGGGGGATCTATACCCCATATCCCCCCGTGGATCCCCTTTTTGGTAGTGTTACCAGACACTGTATATGTATACATTAGTCGAGAAATATTCGACCTCAAGAGCAGAACGTATGCTGAACAGTTTCAGGGGTAATGTGCTTTGTAAAATATATCCAATACAATTATCCTTAAATAAAACCTATGCCTCTCGAAAAGGAAGTTAGAAGTTTTTGATGTTTATTGCCTGGAATAATTCTCAACACCTACTTTATCCATTTTATTTAGAAGTTATAGTCCCCCAAATGGCCATTATAAAGCGTGTTAAATCGTTTTGCACTGTGTATTGCCACTGCCATCGCCGAGGCAACTCGATTACCCTAATGGAAACTTGAGCAGGAATGCTGGCAAATGAAATTAGGCGCCAAAGAGTTGGCACTGGCCCGGGGCAACCTCGTTTGCAGGCGACTAATTGTTTCAATTGCATCATCACTGGCAAACAATGTGTTGCTAAATGTCACTCCTTTCTTTCCTTTCTTCCCTTAACCCCCCATCGCCCTGGAAATTGCCGGCTCAGATAAGTAATGGATGGATATTGGGACCGGAACTGTGCGACATTTGGACGTCTTGCGACGTCCTTTGCTGCACAGCATCCATCCTGCACCTGGTGGCCATTGCGGCGGACAGGTGAGTGCTGCCAGTCAGCCAGCTGTATTCCTGTGCGACGGATGGCAATTTGGACCTCCTTCCGTTGCAGATATTGGACGGTGACCAATATCGACTACAACAATCTGCGGACGCCGCGCCGCGTATTCCTCATGATTTTCTGCGTCTGGTTTGCGGCCCTGATTGTTTCCTTGGCCCCCCAATTTGGCTGGAAGGACCCGGACTACATGAAGCGCATCGAGGAGCAGCACTGCATGGTGTCGCAGGATGTGGGCTATCAGGTGAGCGATAGTGATTGCAGGAATCCTTGGCTTGGGGGTTGGGTGAAGTCTTTGGTGCGATTGGCAAGAGGTTAGAGATTATATTTATAACAGAATAGCTTAATGCTAACCTACAAAAGAGTTATATAGGTAGGTAAATAGTATAGTATAGTGCAGTGAGTTTTCACTTATATAAAAAGAGTCAGCTGGATAAGCTAAAAATCAAAATAAATGTGTATTCCTCGGTTTATTTGAGTACTTAACTATTTATAAGACCCTATTTGAATCAGTGAACTAACTTAGTAAACTAAAAAGTAATTTTACGTTTTCAGAATTTAGGGAGGTTTCTTGACTGACTTCGCATTAAATCAATAATCCTTTCATGTTTTTGTATCCTTTGTATTATTGTCATATTATAATCTAAGATTAAATATTTACCAAGAAAAAAATAGGTAAATGAAAATACCAAGAATTTCTACATACTTTTTCTTTGATCAAATAGATTTTCGCCACCTGTTGCACTTTCTATGTGCCGCTGCTGGTGATTCTGTTCCTATACTGGAAAATCTACATAATTGCCAGGAAGCGCATTCAGCGACGCGCCCAGAAGTCATTCAATGTTACCCTAACCGAGACTGACGTAAGTTAATCAATAACAAGGCAATCTCAGCTGGAGCTAAGTGCCCCACAAAATCAAAGTGATAAATGCCAAGTGTCCACTTAGCCAGCCTCCAAGGAAGAGTGCAAAAATTACTCATACGCCCAGTGGCACAAAAGAAAGATATTACACAAGCATTCAGCTATTTTTTCGGGGCTGGCTGAGTGGCTGTTGAGGCTGCTGTTCGAGAAGTGTATTTGCTTGCCTGCCATAATGAGTGTGTCATTAACAGAAACAATAATGCGAAAGGGGGTGTGGTAGTTGGTGGTCGGAGGTCGGTGGTCGGAGGTCGGGGAAAGTCCTCAGCTGCTCATTAGCATGCCCAAGTGAGCACTCGAAGCGAGCCGCTGCGGCGAATGCCAAACAACTGCCAACCGAGATTTATGATCACCCCGATGTGTGTCCCTGGTTTAGGGGCAGATAATTACACTGTTAATAATTGATATCTAATGGCATTAACAAGTAATACAAAATGTCAATGGCCACCAATTACTCATTCCCCACATAATTTCTTGTTCCAGAATTTTCTTTAACTAAATTGTGTTAGATAGTATCCATTAAAATAAATTACAAATATTTTGTTCATTTTACATACAAAAAGTTGCATATGTTTTTTTTCTGAATTAAAATGAAATGATTATACAAAAAGTATTTAAAAATATTGTACTAATTTAAAAAAATAATTGTTTTAAATACATTATTGGCAAATTTTTTTCTCTGTGCAAGTGAAACACCTAATACGAAAGGAACGTGGGGAAACTCACATTTTGCATTTGATTTGTTTTCATTTCGTTGACAAGACACAAGCCAAATGTGCTTCCCCGAACAGTTTTCAGCAAGTTCGTAAACAAGGGTTGCCCATAAACAAGTCTAGTACTATCTTCTCGCACGTATTTATTTTTATCAATAATCCCACAGTGCGATTCCACGGTGCGGGAACTGAAGAAGGAGCGCGGCAAGCGGCGGGCGGAGCGGAAGCGGCTGGAGGCGGGGGAGCGGACCCCGGCGGGCGGGGAGGCGGACTCGCAGGTGCAGCGGCGTGCCCGCAAGCGGATGCGCATATGTTTTGGCCGCAACACGAACACGGCCAACATAATTGCCGGATCAGAGGGGGCGGTGGCCAGATCGATGGCCGCCATAGCCGTGGACTTCGCCAGCCTGGCCATCACGCGCGAGGAGACCGAGTTCAGCACCAGCAACTACGACAACAAAAGCCACGCGGGCACCGAACTCACCACCGTCTCCAGCGACGCGGACGATGTAAGTACGCCCATTGTCTCTCCTGTAATTAGGCCGTACAGTGGAGACCCGGTAAAGTCCATTTTCTTGAGGAAATATACTTTCGGGACGCAAAGGTTAATGAAAAATGAATCTCTGCTTATTGAAATTCCGGTTGAGTTTTAACTGTACTCGTATCTCTGTGACCTGACCAAAAATTGCTAAGCTTTATTACGAGTAAAACGAAGTAGTTTTGACATCACCTTTTCGCTTTTGCCTTACTCACAGAAGATTAAGTAGCCGACTTTCTTTTCAATATCTCTCTTTCTTAGAGTATTGTCGAAATAGAAAACAAAAAAAATCAATCTGAAATATATATAATTTACACAATTAAATACTAAACTAAATACGTGTAAATTATGCTGATAATATAAAATTGGTTCTAAATCCTTTATTATTTATTTATTTAAGGAGATAGTAAAGTTTACAAAACTAAAAGGAGGTGTAGTGCTAACTACGAGGCCTTCGACTACGTATTTATTTACTTAATTTGACAGTTCGTTTATTTACTTAAGTTAATTCATACACGTTTTTTTATTGTTTAGATGGCATAAACATACTTTTCATAATTATTGAAAACTGTTTCTAAATAACATTTGATAAAAGAAATTAAAGTGTTAAATTTTAGTAAACACTGGAAAGACTTTAGAATTTATTTTACAGTTCAACTTGCTTAATTAAAAACCCACTTCCCTGACAGTTATACAAAACTTCAAAATTGCATAAATTTTAATCCGCGATCCGAGCAAATATTTACATATTTGACATATTAACATTTTGTAAGCCTCAGAAAGTTACCTTATTGAAGCTGGCCTGTACAGCCATAGTCATTTGTTCGTCGCACGCCCTTTTGTTATTGCGAGATTAACCCTTAACTCCCGCTTAACCCCCTAGTACCGCACCAGCAACGCGAATGAAATCATCACGTTGTCGCAGCAGGTGGCCCATGCCACGCAGCACCATCTGATAGCCTCGCATCTGAACGCCATAACGCCGCTGGCCCAGTCCATCGCCATGGGAGGTGCTGGCTGCCTGGCGACGGCCTCGCCCTCGGAAAAGCTGGGGGCAGGAGGCGGAAACGGAGGTGACGGGGAGGTGGCCGGAACAGAGGGCACCAGTCCCGGAAAGAACGCCGGAGTGGGCCTGGGCGGAGTGCTGGCCAGCATCGCCAATCCGCACCAGAAACTGGCCAAGAGGCGGCAGCTCCTGGAGGCCAAGCGGGAGAGGAAGGCCGCCCAGACACTGGCCATCATCACCGGCGCCTTCGTCATCTGCTGGCTGCCCTTCTTCGTGATGGCCCTCACAATGAGCCTGTGCAAGGAGTGCGAGATCCACACGGCGGTGGCATCGCTGTTCCTCTGGCTGGGCTACTTCAACTCGACCCTGAATCCGGTATGTAAATTAGGTCCTGCCGCTGGCCTTCACCTTTTAGTTAAAATGGTGTTTTAGGTCTTACCTCTTACCAGAAAGCCTGTTTATATTTCATGGCAAAGTAGTTTTTTGATACTTGAAAATTTAAAGCCTGACTTTTAAAATATCTTGGATTAACGTTTGTACTGTTGTAACCTATAAGACAGTATTTTCAATTAATTAAAAATATTGTATATATTATAAAAAACATAATAATGATCCATTTTGGAGAAGGACCTATGAAAATAAATTAAGAAACCTACCTGTCATTAATTATACCCGTTACTCGTAGAGTAAAAGGGTATACTAGATTCGTCGGAAAGTATGTAACAGGCAGAAGGAAGCGTTTCCGACCCCATAAAGTATATATATTCTTGATCAGGATCACTAGCCGAGTCGATCTAGCCATGTCCGTCTGTCCGTCTGTCCGTCTGTCCGTCTGTCCGTCTGTCCGTCTGTCCGTCTGTCCGTATGAACGCTGAGATCTCGGAAACTATGAGAGTTACAATACTGGGATTAGGCACGCAGATTCCTGAGATTCCTGCGCAGCGCAAGTTTGTTTCAGTAGAGTGCCACGCCCACTCTAACGCCCACAAACCGCCCAAAACTGTGGCTCCTACAGTTTTGATGCTAGAATAAAAATTTTAACTGAAATGTAATGTTCTCATCAATACCTATCGATTGACTTAAAAAAAAGTTTGCCACGCCCACTTTAACGCCCACAAACCGCGAAAACCTGTGACGCCCACAATTTTTATGCTAGATAAAAAATTTTAACTGAAATGTATTCGTCTCGTCATTACCTATCGATTGACTCAAAAAAAAGTTTGCCACGCCCACTTTAACGCCCACAAACCGCGAAAACCTGTGACGCCCACAATTTTCATGCTAGATAAAAAATTGTAACTGAAATGTATTGGTCTCGTCGATACCTATCGATTGATCCAAAAAAAAATTTGCCACGCCCACTCTAACGCCCATAACGCTTAAATCTGTATACCGCCGGTAGGTGGCGCATTTTAATCTCGCTTTGCTGCTTGCATATCTCCATTTAGCTGAGTAACGGGTATCTGATAGTCGAGGTACTCGACTATAGCGTTCTTCCTTGTTTTTATTAAGCAGATGCAGAAAACAAGTAATACTTCCCGCACTAAAAAAATATTTTTTGTTCAACAAACATTTCTCTCTATACCAGGTCATTTATACCATCTTCAACCCAGAGTTCCGACGGGCCTTCAAGAGGATTCTCTTTGGCCGAAAGGCTGCTGCCCGTGCGCGCAGTGCGAAAATTTGATTTCAACTGAAGGATAACGAGGACCAGTACTTGTAATTAAGGTCGAGCGAAGATGAAGCCAAGGTCGGAATTTACTGAAAGGCAATGTGCTACGGAATTGGCATTGATATAGGGCGTAACTAGCAAGTACAGACGATGTTTTAGCAGTGACAATCCTAACTAGCTGTAACTAACTAACTAAAATTCCTCACCACACAAACGTGCCCCAAAAAGACAAAACCCGAAGAAACAATACAAAATTGTAACCGAAACCAATCGAGTAATGGAAACTTGGAATTAAGCTAGCGGATACTCACTAGATATAAGTAATGCGTATGTAATTTATAAATATTTCTACAGTCTTCCCTGTGTCTTAAAGAAATCCAAGCGTAGTACGTTTAGAAACCCTAGAACCCTAAGTAAGAGGATGGAATAGTGATCGCAGATCGAAAACGGTGATCGGTTATAGGCTGGGTCCAAAGAACTTCTTACGCTTTCATATTCTGTGTTAGTTAAAGTGTTTAGTTGTAGCCTAAGCAGAGGAATGCTCAATTATTTCAATTGGATAAGCACATTTACATAGAAGTCAATATCAAAAAATTAACGAATTTACACCGAAGACCCATCCACAAAATGTTGCATAACACCATAGGGGTAAGCCACCGACGTCACGGCTAATTAGGCAAGTACACCCAACTTAATTCTGCAAAATTAGCATAAATCCAAAACCGAAAGTTAAACTTTTGTTGCTAATATTCCCCACACACACACACATACCATTGGAAAGCCAGGAAGCCGCAACAAAAAGTTTCAGCCATGATACATGATATGCAGTTATGCGCTACACGCATTCATACCTAGTGGTTTATCATATATGTAGTATAGTATTTATGGTTCAATTTTTGAAAAGTTTTCTTGTAAATAAACGGACTTACAGTTTTAGCAAATAGGAAACCCACAGAACCCCGCAACCACAACAAGAGCAACAACCACTCGAAGAACAACTATATATACATGTGGGTCTGTGCGAAAGGGCCATTAAGTCAATGCTGCAGTTGAAACCTAATACGCTTCGGTATGCACATATATGCATACCTACATATGTCTATCTCGATATGTATTTGTAAGTTGAATATTTGTGTGTACGTGTGTTTATGCCACTTCTCGATGTGTACTTGATGTCAAAGTTATTAAAATTGTGTTTTATCAAAAGCGTACGCCTGCATTCGATATTTTATTCATGTTATGGGGGATATGGGGGTTATTTTCGGGGCTCTACAGTAACCGCTGCTGTTGGTACTCAGCTCCAAATTGACTAACTTTTCAGTCCAGTGCCGACCGCACGCACGTCTGTATTGTTTGGAGCCGGGCGAAATGTCAGCGCATTGAAATGTCAAAGTTCAAGTGCACACTCACGCCCCCAGGTGGGTGTGGCCGGTCGGGCGGTGGCTGGGCGGAGGGCCGGCATAGGAGATGGATTACGCATTGGCATTATCAACGCCGGAACAGGCCAAAGCCGACAAATGGCCCAGAAGCAGCAGCAGCAAAAATCGATACATCGTGCGGTACCGGGACGCAAGGGCGCGGCACGAGGGATCGGAATTCGTGTTATACATTTCGGTACTTCACATCCACCCGGCCCCCCCCTTCCACTTTTTTCCTCTAGCTGTCTCTGGCTGCAAGTAAGCTTATTAACGGTGGCCCTCTGCAGATGGAAAATGGAGTGCTGAGTGCCTGGTGGGTGTTCAAGAGCCGAAAGTCAGGTGTGCGGTTCAAGGGCTATCAGTCAATGGGCCGAAACCACAGTTGCCACTTCAAAATCTATTAAGTGCGAAGAAAAATGTCAGGACTTCATCTCATGAAAATTCATTTTATTTTAAATTTTTCTTAAATTAACGAAATAATATTGAAATACACAATGGAATATACTTGGTTTCAATTTAAAGTGATTAAAAATTGAGATTATACCTATATTATCACATGAAAAACAGTATAGTAATTTGTTTAAAGTTCAAAACTTAGGTTACAGGGAAGAATCCTCCAAAGATGCTGGGACTTTCGGCTGGAGTCTATTGATATTTACAGGTTTACTTAATAATTAATATAAAAATACATGTGAATGGGAAAAGATTGACAATTTAAATTAGTTTAGTTTACAGGTTTACTTAATAATTAATATATAAATACATGTGAATGGGAAAAGATTGACAATTTAAATTAGTTTAGTTTACAGGTTTACTTAATAATTAATATATAAATACATGTGAATGGGAAAAGATTGACAATTTAAATTAGTTAAAGCAGCCCAGCTGATTGGCTGCAGATTTTTAAATAAAGGGATCATTAAATGGTCAGTTGTTTTATATTTGAGTTACTAGGTCTGTATGTAATAGTAATAGAATAGTAATTAAATTTTATATATTTTCAACATATTTGCATTTCATTTTTGATAAGCTTGTTGGTATTTTTCAATACACTATAAACTATTTTACTGTTTTTTTTAAGTTTGTCCCTGACCAAAAGTCTCCCAATAATGAAACTCACTGCAAATTCGCACACAAGCGAGAATTCCCAGAATAATATTTACCAACACTTTTAATTTCCTGTTGGCCCCGTAGGAAATGTCCTGCGGCAGCGTCATAATAAAGGGAGAAAGGAATTACGAAATCTGTCTGGAAAGTGAGTGGAAATTCGGGCTGCCAGCAAAGTTCGGGATAATGACAAATTAAATAGCGTCGACTTGAGCAGTCAGGCCATGCAAATAATAATAAAGCCACTCGGGGAACTTTTCAATTTCTGGCAGGCGGCAAATGGAGCGAAGAGTTCCAAAGGACGAGAGTGCCCAATGTGTCACATCATCGATATGTGTACATAATGCACACACGCACATGTGGCTGAGGTGCGTGCCTGTGTGCTCGGTCCTTTATTAGCCTAGTAGCATTATTAATTTCCTCCCTGGCACCCAGCAATGGCAATAGCTGCAGGATAATGCCAATAAAATTCGTTTTATTAAAAAATTCTTTTGCCAAAAAATTCCATAAATCGAATAAATATCGAGTGGCACTCCGGCAATCGTTGGGGGATTTCGGGGTTGGGCCACCCAGGAGATCCCGGAACTGGGGGCAGTTAATATGCCACACGAGGGGGCAGGGGCCTTCGGCAGGCGGCAGCAGGACCAAAATCCAGCTCTGTTTGCTTGGGCATCAATTTTTGAAGGCTCCTTCAGCCGCACCGAGCGAACTTTGGGCAGGCAATTCAAAAGGTATTAAAAGTATTAAACGAGAAATGAGAAATGAGTGTGGCCCGAGTATCTATCGACTGCCCGCATTAGAGTCTTCGAGTGTGTGTGGGTAACTTTTAATTGAATTGCATTGAGAGTGTGCAAATTGCTTCAGATGATTAAGGGCTTATGGCCATGGCTTTCACTAAGCCCCAACTACACGCTTATACACCAGAACAAATGTCGATATCTTTCAGCTTGATTTGAGGGCGTTGAAAGGGCAAAGGTTACGACTCTCTTAAAGCGATTTTATAGATGTGCGTGATAGGTGTAAAAACATTTAAAAATCATTTTATTTTTATATATTCTGTGTTAATGAGAAAGCGGCCATCGCTTGCTGCAAATCCGATTTCGATCAGTGTGCCGCTGGCTTTGAGCTTAACTGCAGTGGTTTGCGGCCAGATGCCATCGAGGTGTTTATAAACCCGAGCGCTATTCATTAGAGTGCTGCAGGTGAGACAGCTCGTAAAAACGCGTTAACATCACGGAACGGAAACAAGAAGAGGTGGGCAAAAATAAGCAGGTGAGTAAGAATACTTAAAGCTCCTGGCAGCAAACAAACTCGTGGCGAAGTTGTTGACACCGCCGGGGGTGCCCATTCAATGGACCTGGCCAGGACACAAAAGATGAGTGTCCACCGCCCTGGAAACTTCGACTTTGTAAAGACTTTTTGCAAATTGCGGCCAAGTGCACTTTTCGTTGCCTTCGAATCTGATGCCGCATTGTGGTGCCTGCTTCGGCCATGGACATTTGACAGGTGGGTAGTTGGCCAGGTGGTCAGGTGGCCAGGTGGGAGGTCCTGAAAGGACCTGCCTGGCAGACTGCTGCTGCCTGTCTGCACTAATTACGAAATAATTGAAATCATTACGCAAAATGAGTGCAGGCAAGTTAAAGTTCCTAGGTCTTCGTCTAAAGTTTCAGTTAATGAAAGCAGCAGCTCAATATTTCTGCGAGTTTCCTGCGCCATCAAAAGTACGAGTCCCTAGTACGAGTTCCTAACTCACCTCAAGTTGTACAGATTGCAATAATTGGGAAGCATTACAGTACGAAGCAGATGTACAGGAAAGCTTCTTTAAATTGGACACTCAATAGGGTGTGGTAAAAAAAATCATAATCAAAAGTCAGGCTTACACAGGCATATCCATAACACTTGAAATGCAGTTTAAGAACCAAAAAAGAACCCTTAGTTAAGGCTAACGACTGTCGACTGTAGATGGGCGAAGAAGTTGGCTGGAAGTCCGCTATCGTGTCAGTGCAGCTTATTCTTTTGGCCAGCAGCTTTTGGCGCTGACAACTAGCGCAAAATGCCAAAAAGGACACGTACGTAATGAACACAAACACGTACGGAGCAGCAGCAGAAGCAGCAGCAACATCGGCGACAACGCTCGAGACTTGGCCCAGAGATAGGACCTGGCTTAAAGTTTCGGCTGGCAAAGTTGCCACAGCGCAGATGAGGCAAAAAGGCAGCCCAGCTGGCAGCCCTTGGCCAGGCACGAACGGCAGAGCGGAAGAAAAAACTGAAACTTGCTGCAAAAGTTTTGCAGTTGCTGCATTTGTAGTTGCTCCCACCCGAAGGGCTGGGGTTTCTGTTAGGATCTGGGTCTGAAAGTGGGTTCGGGATGTGCAGCCGGCATGACGCTGAACGCCAGCGGAAGTTGCCAGCCCGTCCTGTCGACTGTTGCATTTTGGGAGCTGGGAGCGCCGAGCTGCCAACTGGGAACCAAGATAAACACGGAAAAAAAGATAAATACGTTTTTTGAGAGTTCCCCATGAGATTTATTTTAATAGATAGTTGCGTGAACAAAAAATATTTCAAGTCATTTTATTTAATTTTTACGTACCCCATGGAATTGACTGCTTATCTCTTTAAAATTTAATGAGTAAATAGTTAGAGTTGCATGGACTTTCTAGTGCATACTTTAATCAACCATTTTATGAAATTAAAATCGCTTCATGTAATTTCAAATATTAATATTCTTTTTCATTTTTTAAAATTATAAAGTTAAGTTTAGTTAAGTAAAATATGTTGTTCTTGTTGTAAAAGAGATTTATGAAATATCACTTAAATGTATTTTTAGGTGCTTAAAAGTATGCAGTGAAAAAATTATACTTAAAATATATTGTTGCACACTTTTAGGTACCAAATGTGAAATTTAGAAGTGATTCAAAAACATAGTAGCTTTTGCGGCGCTGCCTTATGTTTAAGAAAATGCGAATCAATTAAATGGTGGAGGAGTGTACTACTGTGCTAAACAAAAGTAAGGTGATATTGATTTTTTCGGTTTTCGTGGTGTTAATAAGGAATATTTTTTGAGCGTTAAGCGTCGTCTGCGTGAAGCAATTCGTATAAAAAGACCAGAATTATGGTATAATGCACCATTTCGCATATGACTTCGTGTGACTTTTAGCCAATCCCAAAACTAAAGAGACCACTTCGGGGAACGCGTTTCCAGTCGATTGAGGAGATTAAAAAAATCGGAAAAGGCGCTGATGGCTATACCGAAAGGATTATTCGGCATTTTTCGAAGCTTGGAAAAAACGTTGGCGTAAGTGTGTTTTATCGGGAGAAGATTACTTTGAAGGGGATGATATTGATTTAGAAGAATAAATAAAGATTTTGCATTTATCAGGTGAATACCTGATAGTTCTGATATCATCAGCAAACCTGATTCCGTCACTGGAATGGATATCCTTTTTCCAGTGCACGAGTTAGGAAGCGCTTGTGTGCAGTTGCTGTTGTTATTGCTGCTGGGCTGCCATTGTTGCTGTTGTTGCTGCTGTCCTTCTTGTTGCCAGTTACAAGTGCCGTTTGCTTAATTTTTATGCACTTTCCAGGGTGTGCATGTGCATATGCATGTGCTTGTGCGAGTGTGTGCATCTCCGGCGGGGCGTTCGCATGTGTTTGTGTAGAGCAGTTATTGCTCTTGTTGG